AAGTCTCAGCTGTCACAGGTGGATTCTTTTTCATTTCTAGCCCATGTCTTCCCCTTACAGATCATATTTCACCCTCCCTGACCATCTTTCAGTTTCTCTAAGGATTCACCAAGTGAGGAGAGGAGGCAGGGACAACAAATATTTCAGTGCCTACCATCTTCCAGGCACTGTGTAGTTACAACTGGAAGCAGAAGACATGGTTTCTGCCCTCCTGTAGCCCATAGTCAACAGGGTAGGTGGACAGAAATGTGCATGACTGTTCATTAATGTACACCCAGAAACTCTTGAGAAGTTCTCTAGGAAAAAGTAGTTTGCAGAAGTCATCAACAATGTATGTTTGGCCTTGTATTCATAATTATTCTATTCTTCATCTTGTTCACCATTTACCGGCACACAAAAGGAGCCTCACCCATATTTGAATGTTGAGTAGATGAATTCTTGGTCACAATGGATATATGATAAACATTTGTGGGATTGAATGGAATTGGCCAGGTCTTCTAGATGCTTCTCCAAGGGTGTGGATTTTGCTAGCTCTGTGCAAGAGTAGAGCTTCTCTGGCTGTTAGGATTTTAGTTCAACCCAAGAAGCCCTTTTGACTTCACTTTAACTGGTACCATCAGATTTCTTGGAACTTCATGAAACAGAGTAACTCCTCTTTCAGGTAACAACCTGCACATATCCAGTCACTTAATAAGCACCTGCTAATGATGTCAGGAATTGTGAGAAGCATTTGATAAATATTTTAAGGCAGTTTTAAATTTGTCTTGTGGCTCCCATTTTAGGAGAAACAGCCCTAGTTCCTTAAATGATTTCTCATGTGACATGGTGAGTTCCTTTAACAGCTAGTTTCACCACCCCCCAAACATTTTGAGGGTGATTTGCATCTTGCCTTCCCCCCTCCCCAACTGGGGGCAGGAAAGCACGGGGGGGCGCTTTGGGATGTCTCATGTATGGGGACCACTGAAGCCCTTGCAAGGGTCTGCCTCGAACTGCAAGGGAGGAAGAGATTACCCTCAGGGAGAAGGGGGATAATGGGTCCCCTCAGGGTGAGGGATGGCAATGATGGCAAGCCCTCAGGAAGGGAGGGGACAGTGCCAGGCCCCTTCTCAGGAAGGAGGAACAATACTGGGGACCATTGAGGAAGGGAGGATGACCCTGGGGGAAAGGATGACATGGGATGGGACGCCCCCCAGGAAGAGGGGGCGACGCCAGTGTCATTCTCCCTCAGGAGGGACAATGCTGGGCCTTCATCAGGCATCAGGAATGGGACTGACATCAGGGTCTCCTAAGTAAGTGGGAACAACGGTGGCGTCACTTTACGAAAGAAGAGACAATGCTAGGGTTCACTTCAGGAGGATGTCCAGGTCCTCCTCAGGAAAGAGGAGTTGACGCCAGGGCCCCCCTAAGAAAATGTGAACGGCGCTGGGGTCACCCTTAGGAAGGGACTGACGCCAGGTCCCCTCACCCGCCTCAGGATTCGTCGCACCTGACGCGGTTCAAGCTCCTCGGCTCCTGCAGTCCTCGGGTTCTAAACGCGAAGCGGTCGCACTTCTCATTGGCTCTTTCTTGGCTAAAACCCACCACGACAGCCAATCGTAGCGCAGGGGAAAATCTCCCGCGCCCCTTGCAACGCCTCCTACTCGTCTGCGCGTGCGCGCCTTCCTCAGCCCCACTCTGGGGGGCGCACGTGGGTCAAGCGCCCAGTCGTACCTCCTTCCTGGCCTGTGACCCATTTTATAATTATAGGACTTACTTTGTAGGACTGTTGCTAGAATTAAGTGCAATAATTTATGTAAAACAAACAGTGCCTGGCACTTAGTAATCGGCTGACAAACCTGAGCTATTATTATTTTAATTTTACAGTGAGGAAAACTGAGGCTCAGAATGAGGAAATAATCTGCTCAAATTCAGTTATTAACTGGCAGAGTCGCAACCAGAATCCAGAGTCTGTGTGCTTATCTACCATACATTTGTGGCTCCCAGATAACAAATACCGGCTATCTATTTCCTCAGATTATGAAGTAACTTCCCCTTGATTATAAAAGTAATACATGCTTATTGCAAAAACTCAGAAAATATCGAAGACGGAACAGCAAACACAGATGTCTTTTAATCCCACCACTGGAGACACTTAGTATTTTGACAGACAACCTGCCTTTTCTATGCACATATGTAGGGTCATATAATGCAGAAAGTTTTCAAACCCGCTCTTACTGTGAACCTCTTGTTTCAGTAAATATAGATCCACCTCATTGTTTTTAATAAGTGAATCATACAGGAAGCATAATTTAATGACTCCCTAATGTTGGACACCTGGATTCTTATTAATTCTTCACTATTCTGACCAATACTAGAATGGGTATTTGGTACCTGTAAATTTAGGTTTTCATCCAATTGCTTAAGATAAATGTTTTTAAAAGTGCAATACCTGTGTCAAAATGCACGCACAGTCGTTACGCTTTTGATAAATATTGTCAGACCACTCCAGGAAAGCTGTATGTGCTGACTTCTACCAACACTAAAGAGCTATGAAAGTGCTTTGCCCAACCCAGGATGGTCCATCTTTTCATTATTTGCCAATAGTTGAAAAAAGAAAACTGTCTTCTTTTAATTTTACTCCCTTGTATTTTTAATGCCGTGAAAGAAGGGAAAATATGATCCACATCTCAGGATTTTGTGCATGTGAAATAAAATAGGGATAATGAAAGTACCTGGCAGCTATCACTGTCAAACCGGCCTTGGATGAAGTGAGATCCTTGCCTTATTTCCCTGAAATTTCTCAGCACTGTGAGATCAATTCTCCGCCTCAGTTTCCTCATCTGCAAAGTGACAGTATGCATCTCAAGGACAGCTGGAAAGTCGATAAAATAATCTGACTAATGAGTTTAGCAGAGGGCAGAGCCCTCTAAAGGCTGGGTGAGGTAGAGCCATTTGCCCCAGACCACTGTAGCCTGCAAGCAGTTGATGTCAATTTCAGAGAATGAGCCGACTCCACCCCTTCCCTAGGCTCCCCTGTCCTGTTCAGATTATAAGGCCTCTCTGCCCTTGGTCACCTTTCCCAGAGTAAAGATGAACTCCCCAACGGGAGAATTTTAAAGAGTCAGCTGATGGTCATATGCCACCTCTGCCCTTTGACCCACAATGTCAGACTGTCACCAAATCTCAACTCAGGAGGTATTTGGGACATCACACCTACCCTTGTACACTTGAGGAAATAGGCCCAAGGCAAGAAGGCTCACCCAGAGCCACCCAGCTAACCCCTACAGGCTGAGATTGATACTGTCGCCTCCTGACCCCCAGCCTGACACCCTTTCCCCGACTCTGCTTCCCTTTGAAACACCCTTGGGAAAATGTCTGTGTCTCCTCATCACTTCTTGCGCAAAATTCAGATTCCCTGGAAACTTCTACCTACTTTTCCAGCTTTGCTCCTCTCCTCTGGATCCAGGCTGGCCCCTGCTTCTCTGAGCCAGGATATCTACTAGGAACCTTTAAGCCAAGGTCAAGCAGGCGAAACTTGATAGGCATTAAATCCTCTGCATTAACTCTCCTGCTCAAGTGTCAATATGGTGCAGTCTGATATGCTAGTCGTGGCTACACGTGGCTACTTAATGTAAAGGAAAATGAAAACTCCCCTTCCTCTAGAGGGGAGGGATAGCTCAGTGGTAGAGCTCATGCTTAGCGTGTACGAGATCCTGGGTTCAATCCCCAGTACCTCCATTAAAAAATAAATAAACCTAATTACCTCCTCCCCCCTAAAAAACCAAAACCAAAATATGTAAGTGAGACTATTGAAGGTCAGGGAAGTTACGCCCAAGTTACACAGTCACAGCTGGGATCCAAACGAGTCCTTGGCTGCTAAGGATAATTAGCAGAAAAGGTGGGTAGATCTTTCTTCAGATCCAGCTGAAAGCTGTCTTCATTCTGTTTTGGAAGACACCTGCTACAAATACATACATTTACTCATCCCGCTGTGCTTAACCACTTAAGCTGTGTGTGTGTGTGTGTGTGTTAGTTACACTCCAGAGGCAGCCAGTTAAGCAGTGTGTGTGTGTGTGTGTGTGTGTGTGTGTGTGTTACACTCCAGAGGCAGCCAGTATTCTAATCCAAAAGCCTGCATCCACAAACACTTCTATGTTTATCTTTATCCACAGGGGAAATTTTGCTCATTAGTAAATGAATGCTATATGAGCATAATGAATGTCAGAAACATTTTATTGGTGACATCAGGGCTTGTTCATTAGCCTGATAAAGGTTGGAAAAATGGGCTCCCATGGGTGGAATTAACAGTATTCAAATATGTAGATTGGTTAAAATATCTGAGACTCATTTGCTCCCCAACCTTGCATGAACACAGAAAAACAGAGCTAAAATCACAAACTGGTTCTGTGTGAACTTGGAGGATTCAGCTTGCCTGATACCCATCCTAAGATTCACAGGCTTTAACATGTTCAAGTATTTTCCCCCCCTTAGTTTTGTTTTACTGCAACATGAAGGTTGCAACACCAAAATGGCCAGATGCTGGGACTTCATGGAATTTACAGATGTAAGTTCTCTCGCGCCTGTGAATCAAGTTTAATGTCCGCAAGGCAGAATTTGACCCAAGAGCTTTTATCTTGAGCTGGTAACCAGATGGTGGAGGCGTGGTCAATCAAGTGCACTTGGTTTCCAGGAATGACTTCGAGGTACCCTAAGAACCTGAGTTGCGTCAGATATGCGCCACGTGAGAGAAACAAGGCTTACCTGGGTCTGCTGGCCTCCAAAGACTGCGTGGTCTAAACCTCCACTTTACCACCTGGAGCCCCTGTGTCAGGACCTGGCCCAGGTCCAAGCACTCCCTCCAGCCAAACTCTCTGCCCCCCTTCAAGTTCTATCTGCTTGGGGAGGGGTAGGGACAGAGCCCGCTGCTTGTCATCCCCAGCTCCATCCCCCCAGACAGTAAGCACAGGAGGGAGGCACCTTGAGAAACAGGATGGGAAAGGAAGCCACATCAGCCAAGAAGATTGGTGAAAGCCTCGGTTTAATTGGAGACAACATCAAAGGATTGATTATTGATCAGCAGACCGACTGATCGTCAAAGTGGACAACACTCAAGCAGCTCACAGGGGTCCTGCAACCTCACCTGGTCCCCTATCCCCAGTTGCCAATCAGGCCCAGCCCTGGGGCAGGGGGAGGGGTAGGCTCTGCCCAGCCCTCACCCACTATGATGACAAGACTCCTCATTAAACAACAGTGCTGAGTCCACACTTCCAGGGTCTATGGTACAGTTTGTATAATACAGCCGGAATGGAGACTCCCTCCAGGAGACCCCCACCCCGCCTTCCCCTGACTGAGTCAGTGGAGGAAGGGTAAGTTTATTTTCCCTTTTTGCCTCTGTAGAATAATTTACAAACCAACCTTACAGTATGTACAAAAAAAAAAAAAAGAAAGAAAAAGAAGGAAGAAAAATTAAAAAAAAGGCCCACTCCGGTCACCGGCTGGGACTGAAACTACTTTCGCTACAAAAATGAACCCTGTTACAGCGTCATGGGGGTGGGAGCAGGTGGAACTCCCCACTAGGACAGACAGACAAATGGAAGGCTGGGGGAAGCTGGGGGCTACAGTACCGTGTGCTCAGAATTGGAGGGGACAGAAATGAGAGAGAGAGGGGCCTGGCCTGCCCAGCTGCAGAACCAGGTCCAGGGGCAGAGCAGAGCGGGAAGAGGGGGCCTTTCCTTCCAAACAGTCCCCCATGGCTTGGAGAAAAATGGCCTTGCCTCTGTCTGTTGTATTGCTCAGGGAACATCTAGGGGAAGAGGGAGAGGCTTGGCAAGGTCGGTGCAAAGGAGAAATGACTTTGGCGTCAGGGTGGGAAGGGCTGCCCAGAAAGGGGATGTGGGTGTACGCTGTTATTGCTTCCTCCTAGGGCAAAGGGTTGGGGAGAGGGCAGGAAGATGCTGAGGAGGAGGGCGCCCAGGTTGAGGACTCTGGGCCTGGCCCCACCTCACCCAAGGTGCAGGGGGGAGCCACTGCAACCCCCTCTCCTATGGCCATGGGAATCGTTAAGGCAGAAACAAGAGGAGAAGCAGCTGAAACGAGGGGCGAGGCTCCAAGCCAATCCCCCAAAACAGAGAAAATTCAAACGGAAACTAAGGTGGAAGGGGAAGCGGGTGGCAAGTGGAGGGAGGATCAGGCCCTCCTCAGACCTCAGCTCCCAAGTTGGTGGTGTGAATGTCCCTTGCACACCCAACCCCTGCATCCTAAAGCCCACAGCTCCCCACTGCCTGACCCCAAGTCAATATTGCCAGGTTTGTGCAAAATGAGGCGGAAGACTTCTGGGGTGAGGGCGACGAGCCAGAGAGGGGCTGGAGCAGGGGCCCCCACAGTGCGCCCCCCTCCCCGCCCCTGGGGCCCCACCCTGAATGGCTATTTCTGGCTGGGTTCTAGAGACCCTCCAAAATTCAGAAGAAAAGCCTGGAGCGAGACCCTACACCAGGCAAAGAGCCTGAAGAGGCCGGAAGACTGAGCCGGGAACCTGGGGGACAGACTAGGGGGTTGGAGATGGACCAGGGGAGCCGGGAACAGGAGCATCTACAGTTGCTGTGTTTCATCCTGGTTTTTTTTTCTTTTTTTTTTCTTTTTCTAAAAATGTAACAATTAAAATTCCAAAAATAAAATCCCTTCCGGGACCTCAGCCCCCTGTTCCCCAGCCCCCACCTCCAAAAAGAAGCCCCGTGGGTGGGGGTGGGGAGAAAGGGGAAAAAAAGAAAAGAGAAAAAAACCCACTTTTCTGTTTTCTTTTTTCTCAGGAGGCCCAAGAGTCTTTGAGGCAGTGGACAAGGTCGGGGGGTGATGGTGGTGGTGGGAGGCAGGGAGGGCAACAGGGTGCAGGGGCTGAGGCTCAGGTAAGGTCTCCAGCTGACCCCCACCCTCCAGGAGTTGGGAGTGTGGGTGGGTCCTCGCTGGATGTCCCTGTGCAGGCACAGCATGCCCTCTTGGCAGCCTGATGCTCTTTTTGGGCCCCCACCTCGGCCGCCATGGAGGGGAGGCCCAGAAGGCCCGGGTCCTCCTCTGCAGGGGGCAGGGTCCTCAAGGCAGGCAGAGGGAGGCCCTCAGGAGACAGGGCAGGGGGAAGGCTGCAGCCTACAGCATCCACAGATGCATCTGGGGACGCGGACTCGTCCTGGCCTGGAGCCACACTATCTGCCGAGTCTTTTTGCTGTGTCAAGTACATTTCCTCTACCTCCACCTCTGTAGACTGGTACTGGCCATCCACCTCCAACGGGTCCTCAGCGGGGGATGCATCCTGGGCTGTGGACAATTCCTGCACTCCAATTTTACCCGGGGCCGTGGACAGCTCCTCCTCCTCTTCCTCCTCCAGCGTCAGTTCAAATTGGAACTTATCTGGTGGAGGAGGGTGGCCTGGTCCCCCGGGCTCCTCCTCGGGTGGTGGCGATGGGCTCTGTCGGATGGCGCTGTAGTACCAGTCCCGGTTGTCCTCCAGTGTGTCCAGGATATCTTGGGCATCTGGGTGGACCAAGTCAGCCCACGTCTCCCACAGCGGGTGTACAATATAGTCAATGAAACCCACCTGAGGGAGGGCGAAAGAAGGAATAAACCAATGGGGGTGGTCTGTGGTGCAGATGGCACCACCATGCTGTGGGAGCTAATAAAATTTAAAAGATGCTGATCTCATTTGACCTAGCAATCTTGCTTCTCCAGATCCACCGAGGAAAAACTCTTGCACAAGTAAGAAAAAAACCCCCACATATGTGATGTAAACAAAAACTGGAAACACCTCCATGTATACATCAGTTGGGGATTCGTTTTTAAAAAATCGTGGTACATCACAGATTTCATTATGGCATTTACAAACTTTTTTTAAAATTTTACTTTAATGGAGGTACTGCGGATTGAACCCAGGACCTCATGCATGTTAAGCATGTGTTCTACCACTGAGCTATACCCTCCTCCTCCCATTATGGCATTTTTTTTTTTGCAACAGAGAGAAACTAGAAACAACTTCATGGCAGACTACTGGCTAACACCATGATATCATCTTCTCCTTATTGACAGAATCTTGATTTTTTTTTCTTATGGGAAGCAATGCTTCCACCTGAAAAGTACATTTTCCAGCCCCTCCCTAGCAAAGAGGAGGTGGCCATGTGGCCACCTGTTGGTGGAAGATGCTGGGGACTGCCTCAGCTGGCAAGACCTTTCCTCTCTGGAATGGAGCTGGAATGACTGCAGCTTCACCAGCCTCAATGATCACAAGAGACACCTCTGAGGAGAGAATGCCCATGCTTCAGATGATAGAAGAGAAATGCTGGAAGTTCTGGGGTGCCTGCTAACTTTGTGAAGCCAAAGAGAGCCAAATTCCCTTTCTCTAGACCTTTCTTACATAAGCAGAAAAAAAAGATGAATAAAGCTTTATCTTGTTTAAGTCACTGTGAATTCCTAACTAGTAAACACTTAAATGTCTGTCAGCAGGGCAATGACTACACAAACCATTATCTATTTCTGTCTGTGGGAATACTACACAGTAGTCAAAAATGACAAACGTAATCTATTGGTAAAAATGTAACCAGATCTCCAAGTCACTGTTGGGAAGAAAAGGCAAGCTGTACGTATGAAAATAGGTATATATTAGAGGGGAGGGTATAGCTCAGTGGTAGAGGGTGTGCTTAGCATGCATGAGGTCCTGGGTTCAACCCCCAGGACCTTCAGTAAAATAAATAAGTAAAATAAAATAAACCTAATTACCCCCCCAAAACAAATAAAAGAAACAAAAAATAAATAAAATATTTAAAAAATAGGTATATATTGATATAATTTATATATATTTTTTAAAAAGCTAAACCCACAAACTATTGCTATTAAGTTGTCTGTGAACCTAAATACATAACACAACAAATAAAACTGGCTTTCATCAGGGGTTGGGGGTGATGTGTGTGCCCAGGGGACATTTGGAGTGTCTGGAGACATGTTTGGTTGTTACCACAAGAAGGGGAGGGTGTTGCTGGCATCTAATGGGTGGAGCTCAGGGATGCTGTCCTGTTGGACAATGCACAGGACAGCCCCATCACAGAGTATGATCTGGCCCCAAAAGTCAGTAGTGCTGAGGCTGGATAACCCTGGACTGGAAGGGCGAACACACCGAACTGGGAAGAGGAGGGCTTACCAGGGAGAAGATTGGAAGCTGGGAGGGTGAGAAACTCTCACATTCACACTCTGGTGTTGTCTTTTATGAGACTGTGTTTCTGCCCCCCTTATTAAATTAAGTAGGCACACAATGAAGACAAGTCATTTTATCTCATTTCAAAATCCACCAAAACTCAGGCACAGTATCAGTGGCCAGGTTACAGGGAAGCTGAGAGGCTGAATGGACATGAGGTCTGTAACCAAGGGCCAGGTAAGTGTTACTATCGATGCTATGGTGGTTGCTACAAATGAGTTAGAACTGTCTGGGTGCAGGTCTACAACTTAGCCCAGAGGCTCAGTTCAGTTGTTCTGAGGAGGAGAAAGTGTTAACTATTTCCCACCAAGATAGAGAAGGAAAAAACAAACAAAGAAAAACCTAACATTGTGGATGGGCAGGTTAGAACCTCCTGGGCCTGGGAGCTCCAGGTCAAGATGCCCTGCCCTCTTATAGCGGGACCCTGAGACTGTACCTGAGACTTCTCCACCGAGGCCGTGTGCTTGTCGCACATGGGGCTGATCTCCATGCCACGCTCGCGTTCACGGTCGCCCTGCTGGAAGAATTCAGCCATGATGCGATCGGTCCACTGGCGGTACAGCTCCAGCGGCTTGGTGGGGTTGCTGAGGTCTGCGCAGTGCACCATGTTCCTCAGGACCTGCAAGGGGTGGGGGACCTTCAGAGGCCATGCTCGCGTCCCAGTTTGAGGATTCAGACTTCCTTACCTCCCACCTTGGAAGGAGAGTGGGGAGAAGGGGTAGTGGGAAGATGGAGAGAGGCAGAGTTATAGGAAAGAGAAATAGGTGGAGAAAGGGGTTGCTGAAAAAAGGGAGAGGGAAGTAGAGGAGATGGGGGAGATGGGATGGAGAGGTAGGAGTTAGAAAGGGTTAGATGGGAGAGGAGAGAAAAAGAGACAGGACGATGGGTAACCTGAAAAACCTGGAAGCTGGCAGCAGAGGGAGGGGCAGTAACCCAGACCTAAGCAGGGAGGGGAGGGAAACGGTCCAGTCTCCTAATACGGTGTGTGTGTGAGGGCACCTGGATGCGGTCGGAATAGTTATCCAACAAGAGGACCCCCGAGCTGGTCACTTTCTTGGTCTCCACCATGGTCTTCAGGTCAGCCAGGAGGGTCATGTGCTTTGACATGTCCGTGGCCAGCACCTGTGGGCAATGAGTTGTCACAGGGGCCACTGAAGCCTGGCGGCCCGCTGTAACGACATGACCCAGGCATCTGAAGTTTTTGCTCAGCACAACCAGCAGCCTGCACAACCCTTCCCAATGGACGCCTCCCCACCCAGGGACTTTTCCAGCCCACCCTCAGACCTGGCCCTCCCCAAAATCCCTCCCCCTCCCCAAAGGCGACCATTCCCGCTCTGGCCCCACCCCTCGCCCAGCCCACCATGTCGATGACCATCTTGCGCAGGCTCTGCCGCTGGCGCTTGCTGAGGTTCTGGAAGATGTCACAGTTGTCTTCCTGCAGCAGCTTGAAGCCCACGGCCAGGTGGTGGTTCTCCAGCACCGATTCGTCATTGTACATGAGCGCCAGCTCTGAATCTGTGGCCCAGGCCAGTCAGGGAGTCAGAGGAAGGGAGGACCCACCAGGGGCGCCCGCAAGGAGGGGCACTGCAGGCCCCGCCTCCAGCCCAGCAGCCCCGCCCCTGGAGGGCCACTCACTGGTGTTGATGAGGAACTGGTTGGAGACCCCAGGGTGGTCCACGTCATGGATGGCAGCCGCAAAGAGAGCAGCAAGAATCTCCAGGTCCGTGAACACGGCCTTGGGGGGAGAAGTGAGGGGGGTCAGAGAGAGGCAGGGGTTAGAAAGATGGCAGGTCAGAAAGACAGGTTAAGAGAGGGATGGGAGGGGGTCAAGAAAGATGGGGGTCAGGAGAGAGAGAAGCAGGGTCAGAGAGATGGACGTCAGACACCCAGGACCGGAGAGAGAAACAGGAGATTGGAGATGGGAAGTCACAGAGAGAGATGGGGCTGGGCAGTCATGGGGGCCGGGCAGTGCTCACGTCCAGCGCAGGTGTGGCCAGCAGCACGTGGGTGGACTGCAGCACGTCCGCCGCGTGCAGGCTGTTGTGGTAGGCCACATCAGGGTGGTAATGGTCCTCCAGGGTAAGCATATATGTTACCATCGTGTCCACCGGGATGCGGAACTTCTTCAGCAGGTCCCGCTCCTGGGGGTGGGTGTGGGAGGCGGTGACTCCCTGTGGCCCCTCAGCTCCCTGCCCCTCCCTCCTCACTCATCCTGCCCCACTCAGCCCACCCTACCTGGAATATCGTGTACATGATGCAGCTGAGGGAACGGCCCCTGGCGTAATCTGACACGCAAAAGATGTTCAGGCCCCACTTGTTCAGGTTCTCTAGTTCCTGGTGGAGATGGAGGCCAGAGGTCAGGAGCCGCCAAGGCCCAGGGCCCTCTAGACTCTTTCATAGGAGTTCAGAACCCTGGTCTGAAAGTGGCACCATTATTGCTCACCCAGTGGGTGGTGTGCTCAGGAGCACAGAATTTACTGCCCAGGTTCTACTGGGTCAGAAAATAACAAAGCAACTCCACTGACTGTCTACTGAATGTGTATTATCCACCAAGAATTGCATTAAGCAGTTGATTTCACATGGCAGATGAGGGAACCAAAACTCGGCAGATGACAGGACTTCCCTAAGACCCTGCATCTCACAAGGGTCAAAGCTGGGATGTGAACCCAGGCTGGCCAACCCCACAGCACAGCTCCGCCTCTAAGCTCAACTGCTCATGAGTGCTGGGAAGAAAGGAAAGTAGGCTACTTTTCCATGTCTCCCCAGAATCCAGAACAGCACCAGCACCGAATAGGTGCTCAATGAACACTGCGTGACTGAATGGAACGCTGGCCAGCGCTGGCACACAGAGGGTTCCGATAAATGCCAGCTGAGTGAGTCACTGAGCGTGTACTGAGTCAGCTGTACAAATCAATGTGGGAGCCCCTTGGCGTAACGTTTCATGGAAAAGCCAGGAGACGAGGTGAATCCAGGTCTGGCCTGTAGTGGACGCTATTTGGGTTGGGCCCAGATTCCCTTCACTGGTCAATGCCCCCATCCCTCCTAGCAGCTGGGACAGTTGCTTACAAAGACTCAAAGCTGTCCATTCTCAAAGATGTGCTCTTCCCCACAGGAGCTATATGGAGGGGGTAACACCATTCACCCTGGGGACAGCTCCCAGCCAATGACTGACACAAGGGTATAAAAGGCCAGCGTGCTTGCCTCAAGGTGGGGTCAACTCGGTGGTTCTGTTCACTCTCCAGGGCTCCCTGTGGGGTCAGGCTGAGGCCAGACTCCCGCTGAGACCACCTCCTTCCTATCCTGCTCTCTTTACTATCTCTCTCCAGAGAGTCTCATAAAGCAGGTACACCCGAATCCTCATCCCAGGCTGACTCGAAGCCCAGTCCTTCTTTGGGCTGCAGGAGAACCCTGCCCCTCTCCAGCCAGCCCCCACTGGGCCCCCACCCACTTGGGCCAGGAGTTCCTCTTGGTCGGTCTTCACGCCAAAGCGAGGGATGTTGGAATCATTCAGGCTGCTGCTATGCATCAGTTTCTTCACACCAGTGATCTGAGACATGGGCTGGAACTGTGGCCCCAGGGGCGGGGGCTGCTGGGAGGGTCTCTGTCGTGGTGCTTGATGTTTTTCTCTATCCTTCATAGTGGGTGATGGGATTTCCACTTCATTCTGCTTGTCTGCAGAAGACAGAGGAGGGGCAAGCATGAGTACCCCACAGAGGCTCCCTCATCTGGTCCTCAGGCTTCCCCCACACCCCCCACCCTCATGCCCTGAAAAGTCTCACCCAGGAGGGCAGACCTCTTCTGGGTGTCACACTGTTGGTTATTCATGGAATGGAAACCAGAAGGAAGGTAGGAATTCTGGGAGGTGGTGGGCTGGAGTGGGGACCGGGGGGCCAGCCCGCAGCTGTGGGGTAGCCCTAGTCCAGTCACCAGGTTTGACAGGGGGGTGGCGTGGGAAGTCAGGAAGCAGGTTGGGGCTGCTAGAGAGAGCCGCTGCCTGCCCTGGATAGGCAGGGAAACTTTTCCAGCAGGGAAGACACCCCCATGGTGACTGAGAGTGCTGGTAGGGGTGGACAGCGCTGGGAGGTGGGAGGGAAGGGTGCTCTCTGGCTCCATGGACCCCCACCCCCACCCCCTGGACACCAGCCTGCCTGGGGGCCAGCCCCAGGAGCCCTTTTCCTGAGCTCTTATGGGCTTCCAGAGCCCAGCCAGGGCCACCCATTGTGACCTGGGGACCACCAGTCAAAGACAGGGCCTAACAGGGGTCATTTGCATGCTGTGCTCTTATTGGCTGGATCTCAGAACTCCAGAACACCACACCCCCGTGGGCGGGAGCATTTGAAACTCTGAAACCTTTCCAGCCTGGTTGGAGGGTATCCTGAATTTGGGGACCCACCTTTGGTGATAAATTACCCTGAGTTTGTGGGGGATATCCTCAGCTAGGGCTCTTGGGTTCAGAGGTTAAAATGAGTTGGAGGTCTCCATGAGCTTGAGAGTTCTAATGAATTCGTCTTCAGGGTTCTACTAAGTTAGGAAATTCTCCTAAGTTTGGGGAATCACTTATAGGTTCTCAAGCTTGAGGATCCCATTAAGTTTGGGTATCTAAAGTTTAGGGGGGGTCTACTGAATTTGGGGGATCACATTAAGTTTGGCGATTCTATTGAATTTGGGAGACTTTTCAGCTCAAGGTATTTTTAAAGGCTTGGGGGTCTTTTATGGGCTCTTAAGGGCAGGGGTTTCCTTAAGTTTGTTAACTCTACTGCATTTGGGCAGCTCTCTTGAGTTTGGGGGATCTTCTGAGTTTGGGGGAGCAAATCCAAATTTGGAGATTCTATTCAGTTTGAGGAGGCTTTTCAACCTGGAGGCATTTTAAAGTTACAGATTTCCATTTGAGTTTGGAGGTTTCCTGAGGTCTTGAGTTTCAGAGTTCCGATGGGATTCCACTGAGTTTGGAGCCTGGAGTTGGAGCTTTTCAGCTTGGAGAGATTTTTAAATGTGAGGGTTCTATAGAAGTTGAGGTCCCACTGAATTTGGGGGCACTAGGCATGTGGGAACTCTTGAGCACAGTGACTTTGACCTTTGGGAGTTGAGAGTCAGGGTCCCTCCAGCGAATGTGAGCAACAGGACCCAGTATTTGGGGTGGACCCCTGCAGTCCAGGTATGCACCCCTCAACACAGACAGAAGTGCTGCCCTTCACTCACCTAGGAATGTGGTGGAGATGTACTCAGAGACCTGGTTTCCTGACCTGCTCATCTCTGACAGGTGTGTGAGTTCACGGTTTAGCATCCTCTTGAACTAAAGTGAAGGAGGCAAGAAGGAAGGAAAAATGGGGTCATGGCAGGGGTGTGGGTGGGAAGTCAGTCCCTTCCAAGAAACTTCTGAAGACCCCGTGAATCTCTCCTCCATCTCTACTCAGCCAACAGAGCCCTCAGAAGGCTGCTAGAGGGGAGGGTCACCTCTTCCTCTCCTCCCGGCTCTGGATGGGGGTCCCCAGGCTTGGGGAGTCAGAAACTCAGCATATCCTTCCCTGTCTGAGGAAGAGGGGCTCCTCTCACCATATTCCCCACTTCTCCACCCAAGGAGGAGCCAGAGGGGCACCTGTGGAAGGGAGGGGCTCCTGCCTAACAGGGAGCCAATGGGGAGTCAGGAGAATCCTGTCACCATGGTGATGGGAGTCTCCTTAGCAACTCTCCCTCCAACCAGCTGCTGAGCTGGGGAAAGGGGGGCAGGTCGCAGGCCCCTTAACCCCTGCCTTCCCAGAGCTACCCCTGGCCCAGGTCTTCCCAGACAGGGACCCCACTTCCTGGGGTCCTGGCACCCATCCCCCAGAGTGATTTGGAAGGAGGGAATGCAGTCTGGAAGTTCTGGGTGGAGAGGTCTGTCCGGAGCAGGAAGAATAGTGAGCTGAGGAAACCCTAGTTCAGTCACCCAGGGGAGGGGGGTTCCCATCATAGCCCCCACTCCCCCAACCTCAGAGGGGTGGAAAGATGCACAGATGAATGGAGTATACCCAGAACCAGGCTTAGGGGCTCCTCCCGGTCTCCCTATATCACTTCACACAAGCGTCTGCTGTGACATTGTACATGAGAAAGGGCATCAGCTCCCCGCCCCCAAGCTCCACCAAAGCACCCCCAAGGCAGGAGCAGACCCTGCCCAGAGAGGCAGGAGGGATGCTCAGCAGGAACGGTGAGCCCGAGTGCCTGGGGACCAGCACTCACTCCTCCCAGTGCTGCCAGAGGCCCTGGGTGCACATAAAGAGACACCCATACACACACAAGATGGACCCACAAAGTCACGCAATTGCACAGAGTCACAGACTCCCATGTAACACAGTTCTACACAGCCCAAGACACACAAATCAGGGAGCATACACAATAAGGCAGTCAGTGACACTCGGGGTCACATGCCCCAGAAAAATCACACAGCTCTGGGCTCATAAACATGGCCCAAAACAATCAGAGCCACATGATCTCAGCCAGAGCCACCAGGGCCACGCCACGACCCAGGCAAACAAGCATATGGTCAAGGCAGCCCCACACCACGGCAGACACACACGCATGTCCACTGACAATCACACTTGGGGAGAGACCCACACCCCCAGCCACCCGCCATCCACGCCCAGTCCTGGGCCACACACATAGACACAATCACAAGGCTTCATCTCCAGGCCACACACGTGCACAGCTACACACACAAGCTCAGACTGGGGGCTGGAGGGTCCGGGGTGGGAGAGCCAGGGCCAGGTCACCTGCCCATCCTCCACCCTGAGTTCCCCTACCTGGTCCCACCAGCCCACCAGCCACGGCTTGGAGCAGGTCTCGCAGAAGAAATCCACCAAGGGCATCTTGGAGTCTTAGCCCCGCTCAGGGCTGCCGCACACAGAAGCTGGGCTTGGGGAGTCCGGGGGTTAGCAGCTACCGTGGGGGCGGGTGCTGGGCAGTGGAAAGGGGAGCCGCGGAGGGGCCTGGGCCAGCCCAGCAGGGCTGGGGGCTCCCTTCCCCTCCGCGCTCCCAGCAGCAGCCCTGGTTACATGATCCGCCAGCCCCTGGCCCTGATGGGCCTCCCCGCAGCTGCGGTGGTGGCTGGAGGCGGCCGGGGACCCCTGCCCATGGAGGGGGCAGGGCGAGGGTCCCTGGAGGAGGCTTCCGAGGCTCTGGGCTCTGTGTGTTCGCCTGTGTGCGTGCGTGTGCGCGCTCACTGCAGCACTGGCAGGCTGCATGCGATGTCAGGTGGTGCCGGGCGTTGGGGGGGGCGTTAAAGGGGCATTGGAGCCCACGGGCCTCAGGCAGGACCCAGGTGGGGTTGCCGGGGATGGGCAGGGAGGCACACACACACACCCCCTAGAGAGGATGTTCCCTCTCCATAGACACACCCAGAAACAAAGACACACACCCACATGGTCCACACACACTCAGACACACCTTCCACACCAATATAGCCAGACACTTGACACATTCACAGCCTTGAACACACACAGACACCAAAATGCTTTCAGTCCTACACTGACCACACACACACAGAGTTACAACTCTGATGGCAACATGTTTATAGGTATACAGTTGAGAACACAGAGATACAAATGCCTTCTGACACACCCCTTCCAAGAACACAGACTCATACCCAGATATGGAGACACACACTAAGGGCCAAATACTCATCCTGGACACACAGACACACTCAACATATTCACAGACACACTTGCAAACAAACACAAATACCCATGTGGCCTTAGACACAAATGTGCCCTGACAAATCCATAAGGGAGGAGGGAGGGTCTAGCTCAGCATGCATGAAGTCCTGGGTTCAATCCCCAGTACCTTCATTAAAATAAGTAAGTAAGTGAATAAACCTAATTACCTCCCCCTGAAAGCAAAATCAATCAATCAATCAATCAAATATTTAAACAAAATCCATAAGGGATTATGCACAAACCCACAGACACACACACACACACACACACACACATCATCCCAGAAATACACCTGCAGACCTACATTCAGAGAAACAGTCACATTCTCAGATGCTCAACACACCCTGAGGGACACAATCGCCCTCAGACTCGAATGTTCCCAGACTCCCAGACAAACCTCCACCCACAGGCGTATGCACCCCCCACAACACAGACACTCCCACCTGCACATTCATTTCCTGATAGGCATCCTCCCACAAGGGCTGGTGTAACGCTGCACAACTCCAGGAAGCGTCGTTCACATTGTCTGCTTTCTGAACGGTACCCCCTGGAGTTGTTCAGTGCACAGCCTGCACAGCTGTACTTAGAAGCTTTGCACCCTCCCCTGAAACCCTGCAAGCACACACACACACTCACAAACACATGGAGATACATACCCAGATTCACACCTAGACCAATTCACACCTCTAGACATACCCAGCCCTCCAGCACAGCCCCATACACTTACAGCCCCGCATAATTGCCTGTACACACCCATATACTCTCCACAGATACACATGTACATGCTGCTCCTAACGGCTCTTCCCAGAACCCGACCCGTGCTGCAAATGTGTAGCCAACAAATCAACAGTCACACAAACCCATAGCCACAGATACACACTTATAGACCATACAAACATACAACCACGCCCTCCAAGAGAGATGGTCGCCTGCGAAAAAATGTACAACCAGACAGACACACACACACACACACAAACACACAAACTAGGCTCCTCCAGCCCTGGGAGAAGTCATAATCTATAGGAGCTACAAGTCCTCAAACTGCCACCCAGGGAATGGCCCCATCGCATATGCTCTATGCCCAGGTTGACCCCGCCCACCAGCCACGCCCCACAGTCAACCCTGTCCCCAGAACCCCTCCGCCCCCAAGCCGTTGGCCCCACCCCGCAGGCCTTGCACACCTTGTGGGACGCCATCTCGCTGACGGAGCGGTAAGTCTGCATGGTCTCCAGCTGCTCCAAACACCAGTCCAGTTCCTCCAACGTCTCTCGGGCCAACTGCTGACACGTCTCCTCTGGAAAAGGGGCAGCGGGACAGTGATTGGGAGGGTTCACCTGCAGACCCCCAGAGGTGATGGGGCCCGCCAGGGGAGTAGGGTGCTTGGAAAGGGGATGGGACCCCCACTGGGGCAGCAAGAGGGCCCTTTTCCAACCCCCCTGGGCTTGGTTACCTGACAGTGTGGCCTTGCAGACGGGGGTTGGGCCACCCAGCGGGGACCGCCTGTAAAGAAAGGGGCTCCAACATCAGCCTGAGCCCCCCCATCTCCATCCCTACCTTCCTCTCTCCATGAAAAGTGCTCGTTTTCCTTTTTCGGAGCACTCACTGTGACCCAGGCATGTTGCCATGTATGCTGCCCATAGCCTCTCACAGAGCCCCACAGCCCATTTTACGGATGAGGAAACTGAGGCCCAAGGACTTCAAGGCTTCCTCAAGACTATGCGGCTGGTCAGCGGTAGGGTCAGGTCCTATGTCTCCAAATTCTCTGCTTCCCCGACCGTCCCTCCTCCCAGCTCCTTGAACCTGAGGATGGCTCAGCCCCCCACTCCCAGAGGGACCAGCAGTGCTCAGCTGCACCCCTGCCTGCAAATAATAAGAACTACTTCTATTTAGTGACCTCTTACACGTGCTGCGCAGTGTTCTAGCACTTTCTATAGCTCATCTTTTGAACTCCTTACGGCAGCTATCCCATGGAGAAACTATTAAATTCCCACATTACGGAAGGGGAATAGAGGCACCACAGGAAGCTATTTGTCCCAGCAAGTTGGCATCAGGGCCAAGAGTGGCCCAGAGGCTGGGGTGCCTGGCTACCCATGGCCTGACCACTACGTGTCCAGACCCCTCTATCTGTATGTATAAAAGTTTTCACGTCACAGGTATTTGAATCGCAAGGGTTTACTGGCTCAGAGCGAGCTGTCGCTTGAACAGAGACTCAGAGAGGTCAAGTGGCTGCCTGCCTGAGGTCACCTGGCAGCGCAGAGTTGGGCCCAGGTGTGCTGAGCCTCATGATCACAGACACTGGGGCCCAGCCTCCACTCACTTGTTGGTGGGAATGGGCACATTGGTCAGGAGCGAGAAGTTGCTGCGAACGCTCCGGAGACTCGCCAGCACCTGGGTCGGGGAGCAGCAGTGAGGAGAGGGGTCCACGCAGAGGGACAGCTGGGGCTGGGCCCCTGTCCCCAAGCATGGGGGAGGGTTGGAGACCCATCCCTCCTTAAGGTTGGGGTCTTACCTGGGCAAACGGCGTCACAATGAGGTCCTCTGCATGCCTGCAAGGACAGGGGCAGGTCAGGGGTCCTCACAGTGGGACCCCCGAGGGTCTGGGCTGGAGAGGGGCTAGGGTGTCAGCTAAACAAGTTTCTAGGGTGGTCACTCTGCAGAGGCTGGGCCCTGGGTGGCTGATGGGCAGGAAGGGGGCTCTGTGGGGAGGGGAGAGGGCACTTACACCTCACAAGGGTGGCCACGCTGCAGGGGCCGGTCCTGAAGGAAATGGTGGTTAGGGAGGGGAGCTCAGGGGGGTAGGTGGGGTGGGGAGGATGGGTACAGAGACAAAAGGAGGGCAGTGAACACACTACAGGGCTCGGTTGGTGGGGGCAGTGGGTAGGGAGGGGGGAGGAGGGCTGGAAGGAGCTGGGGGAAGGTGAGATGGATGCCTCCAGGGCTCACAGCTAAGTCTGGGCTGGAGGAGTCAGTAAGAGGGAAGGGGGCACAACAGGTCTTGGGGGTGCTCATACCTCAACAGGTGGTCATGCTAAGAGGGGGACTGGCTTAGGGAAGCCTGGAGTGGGGAAGTGGGAGGGGGCTCAGCCATGGTGGACACTCTGGGGGTGAAACAGTGGCAGGGAGGGGCTCAAGTTGGGTTCCCTCTTTGCTGGAGGGACAGGCTGAGGTGAGGCCAGGCCCCCAACACCACTGGGTAGGAGTGGGCTTGGGCAGGTTGGGTAGGGGCTGGGCCTGAGGGAGAGGCTCAGTGCAGCCAAGTAGGGGCAGAGATAGGGTGGGCACTTGTACCTCACTGGGTGGATCTGCTATAAAGGGACCAAGTCCTTGACTGGGAATTAGGGTCTATTTACTTTTCACTGGGGAGGGCAGGTGGCAGGGGAACTCAGGCAGTGCACCCACTCCTTGCTGGGAAGGGCAGCTTGTGCTGGGGCCAGGCCTGGAAGAGCTGGCAGGTAGGGACAGGGGGTGCTCACGCCTCGCTGGTGACCGACGAGTTCCGGGACATGGTCTTGGGTGACATGTCATAGTCGCTGTCTGAGCGGTAGAGGAAGGACTCTCGGCGCTGGCTGGTGGCCACCCCGGCATGCAGCACGAGGCCCGGGCTCGCCTGCGAGTCCAGGGGGCTGCGGCCTGGAGATGGCGTCGGCCCATTCTCCGCCTCGAAGCTGAAAGGGGTGGGTGGGAAGAGGGGTCAGGGGGGCTGAGATAACGCTGGGGGGCAGGTCGAGAGGAATAAGGGGACCAAGGAAATTCCTAGCAGAGATAGAGAACATTAAAGACTGACAGACAGCCCCAAAGAGACAGCAGACAGGGAGTTTACAGAGATCAGTTACTGAGCACCTCTGTGTACCAGGCCCTGCTGCAGAAGCTGGGGACACAGCAGTGACAAATCTGCCCCTCACAGAGATGACATGGGGAGGACTGGACATAAACAGGTTAACCTAGCAGCAATGCACACCCCAAAAGTTGTGGGGTCTTCCTTGGCTCTACCCTTTCCTTTGAACCTCAAGTCAACCTCGTTGCCCAAATCGATTCAGAATCTGCCCACCTCTCACCACTTCCTTGGCCAGTGCCCCCTCATCACTTGCCTGGGCCAATGTATTTGCCCCTGTTCTGGTCCCCAGCTCCAGTCTTTGCCCCTCAGTCTGCTCCCCAACAGTGGCCAGAGGAAGCCTGTGAACACCTGAGTCAGGTCACATCCCTTCTCTGCTCAGAACCTTCTATGACTCCTAGCTCGCTCAGAGCAAAAGCCAAAGTCCTCACTGTGGCCCACAAGGTCCTGCCCCATGACCTCCCACTCTACCCTTTACTCACTCTGCTCCAACCATAATGGCCACCTTGCTGTTCCCTAAACAGTCCAGATATATTCCTGCCTCAGGGCCTTTGCACGGGCTATTTCCCTTGCCCAGATCTCCAATGGCTCCTCTTTCATCTCCTTCAGGACTCCTCTCAAATGTTGCCTCCTCAGGAAGGCCTCCCCTGACCAACTCATCTAAAATTTCTGTCTCTCACCTAGTATTTCTCATTTCCCTTCCTTAAAATAAATACTACTTACCTGACACGTTCTATATTTTACTTCTTCACTATTTGTCTTCCTTTCTAGAAGTAAGCTCTGCAGAGTACAGATTTTTGTCTGCTGTGTTCACTGCTGTATCCTTTGGGCCAAGAATATGGCCTGGCATGCAGTGGATGCCCAATAAATGTTTATGGCATGAATCAATGTATGAATGAATAAATGAATCAATCAATATATGGTCTGGATTGTGCCATGCAGAGAATTAAAAGTAGGTGGGTGAGAGCAAGTTATTGGAGAGGTGATTGTAGCTGTTGTAGTTAGGGCAGGCCTCTCTGAGGAGGTGACATCTGAGCAGGGCCTGAAAGAGAAGGAGCAGGCCACAGATCAGGAGGAGTGAGAAAGCACTCCAGGGTAAGAGAACAGCAAGTGCAAAGGCCCTGTGGCAGGATTTGGTTTTTGTTTGAGGACCAGCAAGGAAACTGGTGGGGCTGGAGAGGACATACAGATGACAGAGACACAGCCACACAGTGGATACAGCAGGACCCTAGGCTGTTGGCACTGGCAAGACAGACTCTCAGGATTGAGGCAGGGAGAAGCTGGCTGCACCACTTTCCAGTTGTGTGGCTTCGGGGAAAGACCGAATTTCAGTTTCCTCATCTACAAAATGGGGATAATCACCACCTGCCTCAGGTCATCCAGGTGACCAGCGTCCACACAGATAAAATAAAATGCTCAGAATGGTGCCTAAAAACATTGAAGAAGCAAACAGTGAAGAAGTAAAATATAGAATGTGTCAGGTAAGTTGTATTTATTTTAATGAAGCTCAAAAAACATTGGCAATTGTAAGTCTATCAGGCTCATATACGCCACTTGGGGAGTGAACTCAGCAGGGCAATTGATATGGAGAATTGAGGATGAGAGTGGAGAGCTGTGTGCCTGCCACCTGCTGTGTGGCCTAGGGAGAGCCACTGCCTTCTCTGGTCTGTTACTCTGTTAAAGTAAGGGGGTTAGACTGGCCAGCAGACTTCAGGCTATGCTCTGGTGGGTGCAAGGGACTAGGGGAAGAAGCAGAATCCTGCCCCCCTTTCTGGTCCTACATGCTGAATGTCAGCATAAGATTTTATTTGAACGTTCCCTCTGCTGAGAAATAAGTTTGAACTCTCCTAGACCAGGATAGAGATACCAGCTTCCATATATTGAGCCTTATTTCTGGGCCAGTCCTGGGGTTGGGGAATGGGGAAGGATTTCATTGACTCCATCTTACAGATGAAGAAACTAAGGTTCAGAGAGGAGAATGATTAGCTCTGGGTCACACAGCCAGGTCATGGTGGGGTCAGAATTTGAACCCAAGTCCTGTGATTCCTCAGACCAAAATGTTAACTGCTGCCCTCTGCTGACCTGACCACTCTCAGAGCACATTTCTCCCATTAGAGCAAATGTTCCCAGGGGCTGGGGACCCTGAGCAACCAGATACTCCAATTTTAGGAAGGAAACCAGATATCTTAAGTAGTCAAAAATTCAAACTTCTTCTAAAAACAAACTTAAAAAAAATTTAAAAACACTGAAAAACTTTGCTCTGCACAAGACACTGTCAAGAGAATAAGGGCTCCTTCCCCAAAAATAGAAAGAAAAAGAAAAAGAAAACAACAACAACAACAACAAATAGAATAAAAAGCCAAGCTACAGACTGGAAGAAAATATATTACAAAAACTTGCATCCAGAATATATAATGAATGCTGAAAACTCAACAATAAAAAGGCAAACAACTCAATTAAAAAATGAGCGAAAAGTATGAACAGTTCACCAAACAAGATATATAGATGGCAAATAAGCACAAGAAACATCAACCTTAGGGAAATGCAAATTAAAATCATGAACTATCACTTCATACCTACTAGGATGCTTCACAAACAAACAAAAATTGACAATAAAACCAAATGGGGACAGATTCCGAGCTACTGGAACTCCCATTCATTGCTGATGGGAATGCCAAATAGTGCAGTCACTCTCGAAGACAGTTGTTCCGTTTCTTATGAAATTAAATGTACACTTATTGGACGATCCAACAAATCCACTCCTATGTATTTATCCAAGAAAAATGAAAATATATGTCCACTCAAAAACCTGCCTACTAACGTTTAAAGCAGTTCTGTTCATATTTACCAAAAATTAGAAACAACCAAACCAAATGTGCATCAACTGGAGAATGGATAAATAAATAAATTGTAGCAGATCCCTGCCATGGAATACTATTAAGCAATTAAAAAAAACCCAAACGAACTACAGATCTTCCTTGACTTATGATAGGGTTATGTCCTGAAAAATACATCGTAAATTGAAACTATCAACAGCGAAATGCATTTAATACACCTAACCTACTGACCATCATAGCTTAGCCTCGCCTACCTTAAACGTGCTCAGAACCCTTACATTAGCCTACAGCTGGGCAAATCACCTCACACAAAGCCTTTTTATAATCAACTGCTGAATATGTCATGTAATTTATTGGATACTGTACTGAAACGGAAAAACAGAATGGTTGTCTGGGTCCAGAATGGTTGTAAGTGTCTGTCAATTGTTTACCATCCTGATTGCTGGCTGACTGGGAGCTGCAGTTCACTGCCGCGGCCCAGCATCTCGAGAGAGAATCAGACCACGTGCTACTAACCTGGGAAAATATCAAAACTGGAAGCATGATTTCTACTGAATGGGTATCGCTTCCACATCACTGTAAAGTTGAAAAATCCTAAGTCGAACTATTGTAAGTCAGGGACCACAAGTGCTGTGTAATGATAAACATACGTATTTGGTCTCAGCTCTGGTCTCCTGGCACACAGTTCCTAAATTCCTGGGAATCTTCTCCACAGTAAAAAGTATCTTTTTTGTATGCTAATGAAGTGATGCCCCCTAGGATCTCCTGGACAGCCGCTGGATGGGGGCTGGATGCCAGGGGAGCCAACCACTTGATTAGAGGGGTTGGAATTTTCAGGGACAGGGACTGCAGGTTGAGTTAATCACCAATGGAATGGCCAATGATTTAGTCATTTGAGGCTGCATAATGAAACCTCCATCAAAATTCCTGAATGACAGGGTTTGGAGAACTTCCAGGTTGCTGGACACATCTAGGTGCTGGGAGGGTGGTGCACCTGGGGAAGCGCCATGTCCCTCTCCTTAGATTTTTTCTACCTATCCCTTCCATCTGGCTGTTCCTGAGCTTTATCTTTTAAAACAAACCGAGGGGAGGGTATAGCTCAAGTGGTAGAGTGCAAGGTTAGCATGCATGAGGTCCTGGGTTCAATTCCCTGTATCTTCTCTAAAAATAAATAAACAAACAAACCTAATTAACCCTCCCCCCCCAAAAAAATCCCTAAAAATAAATAAAATAAACCAGCAATCTAGTAAGTAGTAACTGGTTTCCTAAGTCCTGTGAACCATTCTAGCAAATTATCGGACTCAAGGAGTAGGGGGTCTTGGGTACCTCTGATTTATAGCTGGTTACTTAGAAGCACAGGTGACAACCTGAACTTGATATTGACACCTAAAGTGGGAGAAGTCTTGTGGGACTGAGCCCTTAACCTGTGGGATCTGCGCTAATTCTGGTTAGTGTCAGAATTAAATTGTAGTTCACCCAATTGATCTTTGTAGAGAACTGGAGAATTGGTTGGTGTGGGGAAAAAAATGCATATTTGGTGTCAGAAGTTTTCTGCAAGAGTAGAAAGAAATGGTCTCCTTTTTAACTACTGATACACAAAACAATTTGGATGAGTCTCAAATAAATTTTGCTAAGAGAAAGAAACCAGTGGTGGGGATTACATGTGTCAAAACTCAGAACTGACTAATAAATGAATTTAGCAAAGTTACAAGATATGAAATCAACACACAAAAAATCAGTTGCTTTTCCATACTCTAATAATGAACAATCCAACAAGGATATTATGCAAACAATGTCATTTATAATAGCATCAAAATGAATGATACTTAGGAATAAATTTAACCAAGGAGGCAAAAGCTTTGTACACTGAAAACCACAAAATTTTGCTGAAAGCAATTAGAGAAACAAATAAATGGAAAGACATCCATATTCATAGATTGAAAGATTTAATAATGTCAAGATGTCCATACTACCCAAAGTGATCTACAGATTCAAA